ATTTGATCAAACGCGCGTCGTTAACTCCACATCCGCGATTTTTTTTTTTTTTTGCCTAAAAACGACGTCGTTTGGACTTGTGTTCACCATTCACGGTGAACACGTTTTCAAGGCATAATTTGCGGGTTAAATCAATACATATTATTGTGATTATAGAAGCATAGCTTATAAAATAGTTTCATCTATATTTTGAAATAAGAATTTAAATTTTTGAAAATAATAATACTGGGGTGCCTAATGTCATAAAAATAATTTTGAGGTAAAGTAATTTGTATTAAAGGGTAAAAAGGGTATTTATACTAAAATAAATCTGTTTGAAAGAATGGAGTATTACCGGTTCTGTCAGGAGCTATCGTTAACCTGTTGAGAGAAAAGATTTATGGCCATGAGCTCTCAACTCCGGTCCATACGATCTTCCTTTCGTCGGAGAATTTCCTTCAAACAATTTCTGACAAAAACGTTCTACATTTCCCAAAACTCCACACAAGACCAGTGACGGATCTAGCATGGGGGCAGCTGCCCCCACTCATCCCCCCCACCCCACCCCACCCCACCCCACCCCATATATAATAACCCTTATATATATATATATATATATATATATATTAATTACAGGTTTTAGTATAAGTATAAAAAAAAATAGATAAAGGTTAAGATAGTTATATTAGGTGACAACAAGATTTTATTATAGCTGTTCTTTTCAACACACAATTTCTTAATGATTTATAAATATTAATTAATGGTGAGATTCACACACACACACACACACACACACACACACACACACACACACACACACACACACACACACACACACACACACACACACACATATATATATATATATATATATATATATATATAATAATGTGTTTTCTATTCCAATTATTTTATCAAATTAATTATGTTTCATATTTTGTTGTGAATATTTTAATAAAGTTTTGATGTGTTTTATTTTTCGCACATATCCAACAATATTTATGGCTTAAGTGTTTCATTTTTTTTCTTAAACTATCTCTTTTGTATGTTTCGCCTCCACTGAAAAAAGTTTATGGATCAACCCCTGCACAAGACGCAAAAAGTGGCCATCTTTCATACTTAAAATCAATTTTACCTCACCTTTCAGAGTCTTAATCTTCATTTGTTGTTGTAGAGGACGAGTGATGTATATGTTGACACGAACACATATGAAAGCTTTCCAAGTACCATTAAACTACTGGTCTTTATCAACCTTTTTGAATTCACCGATTAATGCTCCTATTATTGAGGGAAGAAGAGTAGAAGGTCTTTCTTGTAATTTTCCTTTCTCTTTCTGTTATAACTGCCACTAATATATAAGGTGGCAGTTTCTTCTTCTTTTGTATCGATTCATACATTCATGTACCAAAACCAGTGAGATGAAAGTTTACCTCCCATTTTCTCTTTGAGTAAAGACTCTTTTCCGTTATGGTATCAGAGCCGCCGAGACGATTCTCATACGCAGCCGCCGTCTCCGGCGAAGGAAGCCATGAGAGGAACACAGCGTCACCTCTCATCCGATCACCAGCTCGCAACGCTACATCAGCTCCGCAGAGGAACTCTAATCTACAGACGCAGAGAAACTACGGCACAGAGGATATGGAGAATCCGCTGTTTCTCAGCGTGAACGAGAACCCCTCTGCGATCCTCGTTAGTCCCCCATTAGTAGGCAGCTCCAACTACACTTCTTGGTGTATCTCGATGCGGATCGCCTTGGAAGTGAAGAACAAATGGTGGATCGTCAACGGCAGCGATTCAACTCCGAGCAGAGAAAGCATCCAGTATGCGGCTTGGAGACGCTGTAATCTTATAGTGTGCTCCTGGATCTTCAAGTCAATCCACACCTCCATAGCTCAAAGCGTTATGCATTTGGACAAAGCGCGAGATGTCTGGGAAGATCTGAGAAAGAGATTCGCACAATGCGATGCACAACGGATCTCAACCTTACAGAATGAGATCAACAATCTGAAACAAGGTAACCTATCTGTGAGCGATTACTATACTAAATGCAGGACCATGTGGGAGGAGATGAATATCTTGAGGCCTCTCCCAATATGCAAGTGCGATCCAAGATGCGATTGCGGTCTCGTTGATGAAATTAGAAGAGAACGGGACGTGGATCAGTTGATAAGATTCCTCCAAGGATTGAAAGATGACTTCAATAGCTTGAAGTCTAATGTTCTTGTCCTCGATCCATTGCCGGAAGTATACAAAGTTTATGTGATGGCAGAGAAGGTGGAACGACAGATTGGCATGACTAACATGAACATGAGCAGTTTGGAAGTTGGCCAAGCTAATGCTGTCCAGATGAATAACATACCAGCAGAGGAGATTGTGGCTACTGTCAACAACTATAATGGCAAACGATACACAAATAATGGAGGTAACAAACCAAAATGTGTTTTCTGTGGAATGATGGGGCACACCATTGACAAATGCTACAAAAAGCATGGCTATCCCCCCGGTTGGGTGCCAGGCTTCAAATCCAAAATGAAACAACAAACTGCTGCACCAGTGATGACTGATTGGGCTTCATGTTGAAAATGTTCCTGCTGAAAATGTTCCCAAGCTGAAAGCGTTCTCCGACTCAGATTGGGCTTCATGTGCCGATACCCGCAAGTCAGTCACTGGCTTTTGTATTTTTCTGGGAAACTCTCTGATTTCATGGCGTTCGAAGAAACAAGCCACCGTATCAAAATCATCGTCCGAGGCAGAGTAGGCCCTTGCCACCACTGCTTGTGAACTACAATGGCTCACCTCCCTACTCAAAGATTTTGGCATAGCCACGACTGATCCCGCTACCGTTTATTGCGACAACAAATCTGCAATCGCCATTGCCGAAAACTACGTGTTCCACGAGAGAACCAAACACATAGACATCGACTGTCACATTATACATGAGAGAGTTGCTCAAGGGTTGGTTAAACTGCTATCTGTTTCAACCATCAACCAAACTGCTGACGGTTTTACTAAGCCCCTGCCTACCTCCCAGTTTGAATCTTTTGTGTCGAAGCTGGGTGTACAAGACCTACACACTCCAGCTTCCGGGGGGGTATTGAGGGAAGAAGAGTAGAAGGTCTTTCTTGTAATTTTCCTTTCTCTTTCTGTTATAACTGCCACTAATATATAAGGTGGCAGTTTCTTCTTCTTTTGTATCGATTCATACATTCATGTACCAAAACCAGTGAGATGAAAGTTTACCGCCCATTTTCTCTTTGAGTAAAGACTCTTTTCCGTTACCTATTGCATGCAAAAGCTTCATGTTTTGTAAGTTTAGTGGTATGTTATAAGCTTGAACCCAGAAGTTTTATCGATCCATTTTGACTTCAAAAGGGAATTCATTTTTTCCAAAGATGTTCAAGACGACCAGACTTTGTTTGCACCACATTTAAATTTGACCAAACTCGAACTAAGTATTGATCAAATTGTTTAGGAGTATTTCACAAAGCGGTTTGATTCATTCACATTTATAGTTAGAAGAAAAAAAGAGCCTTATTTTTAATTATGTTAGATAATCTCATTTATTTATCAACTAAAAGTTTAAATCAAGAATTGAATTACACATTTATTATTTATATATATTATATGCTAAATGCCTTTAGTTTTGGTACATTTGGATAAAACTCGGATCAAATTGACTCCATTAGTTTGTAAAACCTAATAGTTCATCCATCATGGTATGAATTAGAATTTATTTGTTGCTACACGAGTAGTTCAATTGGTTTTCGATTGAAATATTACACTCAATGACGCATGATTGAATCTTAACAGCTACAGCGTTGGAATTTCATCATCTTGTAGGACTTGTAGGGGTGGATCATTGTAGATACTAGACACTAGTATTCACATATAAAAGATATTTGAGTCACCGTAATTTTAACTTTTTCAAAATCTTTGTATGACCAAGGTGTGACCCGGGGCAAGGAATTATACCTTTGCACCTGAGGAATTAGTAAACTGGGTGATGCTTTTATGAGTGCTCCTAATTTATTAGCATATGCCAACATGCCTAATTAGGTGAAAAAAAAAAAAAAAAAAAAAAAAGGCAAATACTTTGCGGTTTAATGGTATCATTGTTATTTTCATAAGGAAGGTCTTTAAGTCCCATCTCAATCAAGAGCCTTCATAATTTATTGAACAGATACTATAAATAAGTTAGAGTGTATTCAAAAGAAAAAAAATCACAACAATTTTGTGATTTGTCGGTGTCAAGCTAAACATGAGCAAAGCGTTTGACTGAGTAAACTGGGATTTCTTATTTGCTGTGATTTCTAAGCCGGGATTCTCCAACTATTTTGTCAATCTGATCCGGGAACTTGTCTCTACTGTTAATTACACCATCCTTTTAGAAGGAAGAGCAATTGGCACTGTTTTACCTAAAAGGGGCCTTAGACAAGGTGACCCTTTGTCCCATTACCTCTTCATACTTATTCTAGAAACCTTTCACTTATGCTCCAAAACCTCCAAAACCAAGGAGCCATCCATGGCATATCCATTGCTAGAGGTACCCCCATTATCAATAATCTTTTTTTCGCAGATGATTGCTACATCTTCTGTAGAGCCACCCCCTCTAAAGCTTCTACTCTAAAAAAATACTATTGAATCATTTGCCAATGCCTCAGGTCAAATTGTGAACTACACAAAATCTACCCTAACCTTCAGCAAAAACACCAATGTGTCCTCAAAGAATGATGTTTGCACTATTTTGGCCATGAGAGAGGGAACCCTTAATGGGAACTACCTTGGTCTTCCTTCCTTGATTAGCAGAAACAAACAGGAAATCCTTGGTTTTATCAAAGACAAGGTTGTGGGAAGAATCAAGAGTTGGACGCATAAATTCCTATCTAGAGCGGGGAGAGAGATCTTACTGAATAATGTAATTCAGGCCATTCCCACATTTGCAATGAGTGTTTTCCTTATTCGAATTGAAATGGGAAATGAAATTGAGAGAATTATGAATAGCTTTTGGTGGGGATGCGAGGGTGAAAGACATAAAGGCATTAGATGGAAGAGTTGGGAAAGACTAAGTATTCCTAAGCAATGGGGAGGCATGGGTTTTCAGACGCATAAGAGAGTTTAATATTGCCATGCTAGGCAAACAAGCTTGGCGCTTAATTGACCACCCTGACTCCTTACTATCCAGAACATACAATGCAAAGTATTATCCGAATGGAACTTTCTTGGATGCTTACCTGGGCAGTAATCCTTCCTTTATTTGGAGGAGCATTCTCGAAGCGCAATCTATTGTTAAAAGAGGTTGTCGCTGGAGAGTAGGTGATGGTGAATCTATAAGAATATGGAATGTCCCCTGGCTACCAAACAAGAACCAACCATTAATTCAGTCCCCTGCACCCACCCATCTTGAAAATATTAAAGTTGCTTCCCTCATCCAAACTGGAAATTCATGTTGGAATGATACTCTTATAAATTCACTCTTCAACCAACATGAAGTGAACCTCATAAAGAGCATCCCTTTTACTGACACCAAGCTAAATGATAAAATTATATGGATTGAGGATGAAAAAGGAAGCTACACTGTGCGCAACTGTTATAATGCACTTGCAGGTGATCTTGGATCTGTCCAAGTCCCTGTTTGGACCAGATTTTGGAAACTTAACTTCCTCCTAAGCTGAAAACTTTTTTTTGGCAACTTTGTTCGTCCTCTCTTCCAACTTGTGATCGATTGAGATCTAAACATGTTAATGTTCCCGTAATATGCCAACTATGTAACCATGATGAGGAGCTAGCTTAGTCCTACTTTCACCTCTTTATCATGTGTTATTTTGCTAGAAGTTGTTGGGATTCTCTTGGCTATGTGGATTACCTGTCCAGTATATCATTTCATAACTGGTTGGATACCATTTTCTCTACTAAATTCAATAGTGATATCTGTGTTATTATCTCTATATGTTGGAAAATCTGGGAAGCAAGAAACGAAAAATATGGAATCATATTATTCTATCTGCTGCCTATATCTGCCAGTCTGCTAAGAATTTCTTATGTGAATGGTCTGCGGCTAACACTTTTCTTGATAATGCCAGGATCTCAGGTTATACTGTCTGGTCTAGACCTCCTGTAGGAACTCTTAAACTTAATGTGGATGCTGTTCTGGACCTTAATAGTAACAAAATGGGTTTTGGTTTCATACTTCGCGACTCTGCTGGGCAATTCATTGCAGGCCAGACGTCTACCCTGGTTCAATGTCTATAAACCTCATGAGGCGGAAGCTATTGGCGTGACTCGTGAGAGAAGCATTGAAATGGATTAAGGATTTGCATGTTGACAACGTCCAAGTGGAGAGTGATTGCCTCCAAGTCATTAATGGCATCCTTCATGTTCATGATCCCATTTCTTCTTTTGATCTTTTACTTTATGATATTAGGAAAATAGCTACAGATTTTACAAACTTGAACTTTTTGTTTGCTAAATGGTCCACGAACGGAAACTGTCCATTTATTAGCTAGGGAAGCTTTGTTTAAGTCTGACTGTATGAATTGTTGTTTGATCCCTTTTCCTTTCATTGCTTGCGTTTTGAACTTAGATCTTATTTAATGATATTCCTCGTTTACTTTTAAAAAAAATAATTAATTATTATTTATCAAGTCAATAAAATATATAATTTATTTCAAAAGAAATGATCCATAAATAAAGCATAACTTTTTTATTACAAATTTAATTCTTAATATTCTATCAGTCCAACTTATATATCCATCTTCACCCAAACATAAAATAAATGAAAATTAGATGGAGTATTAAATATCTTCATCGGTGGCAATTCATTTATGAATTATCGGTGGGTTTATGAATTGAATTTTTATTTTTTTTGGTAGGTTTATGAATTGAATTCTGGTAAGTCAACATTGTAGCGTTGTCTCTAAAATGATTTTCTATGTCTTCTCCTGTAATTCTGTAAATTCAGGAATCGTGTCAATCCCATAACCCTCAATTAGAAATTTAGAAGCAATAAATCGGTTTGTAAGATCATACAATCTCTATGACTAAATGAGGGATGATTGATTAGATCTTTTGTCATTGTTTTCCCCGTCTTTCTTGGCTCATTTCCTCCATTTCCTTGCGCTCGCAGACTCCCGCACGTCATTCCATTCTCTCTTGTTTTCCAGGTGCATATGTTTTATCAACCAATTTTTGCGTGAATTTCCGTCTTCGTATCGAATTTGAATTCCTGATCGGCTTATTTAATTTGCTTGTATGTGAATTTTATTTGTATTTTGTTTTTTTTTTTTTTTTTTTTGGCAGTGGAGATAGGATGGAGAAGGATCAAGGGAATATTGAGGTGATGGGCGGCGATTGTAGGTCAAATGACGGCAAATACGGGCGTGATTCGCGGGGAGGAAAAGGGAAGAGGTTGTGGAAGAAGGTGAAGTATCAGTTGGTGGAGTATCATTCGTTGCCTGGATATTTGAAGGACAACGAGTTTATTCTTGGCCATTACCGCTCCGAGTGGCCCTTGAAGCAGGCCTTGCTCAGCGTCTTCACCATTCACAATGAGACCCTCAATGTTTGGACGTAAGAATTCATTTCCCTTTCCCCTTTCTGTCTTCAGTTTTAATGTGAATCTCAGACTTGTAGTGTTAAATTTGTGGTTGATGGTTCGGAGCTACGAAGTTTCTGTTGTTTGGTGGGGAGTTTCATGTTGTGGACATTTTGAATGAGTATTCAGAAGTTATGATCTGTTACAACTCATATTTGCACCACATAAGAAAACCCAATCTGACAAGGAAAGCATTTGTTATATCGAGTGTTCATCAATAAGGATAAGATAGGTGCTATTTGGTTCTGCTGCACCTTATCAGTGAATTGGTGAAGTTGTGAAGTTTCCAGATGAGATTGTGGTTAAGTTTAAAAGAACCGTTAAGTCTTTAGTTTCCTGAAGATGTAATGTTTTCGGTAAGTTGCTGTGCATACACAACTTTCAAAATGTAGTGCCTCGTGCATTTCATACAACTGCTCCCATGATCTCTGGATTTTGGCATGAATTGCATGATGCTTTCCTACCTAGTTTTGGGAACTAAAACCGTGCTTTGATTGCTTTGATTTGAATAAGGGATTGTTACACTGTTTGGATCTTGATTGTTGAAAATTGTACTGCTAAATATTGAACATTGTTTAGCTGGAAAAATCTTCTCACATCCAGTGCCAACTAATTCTCATTTGATCTGCTGTTACACTTAGCTGCCTGCTTAAACATACTCTATTAAGGAGTATATTACATTTCTTTTAAACCTTACCACTGTGTATTAGAAGCCAACCATCTGTGTTCCATATTTTTAGTTTTGGTATTGATATAAAGTCATGGCTGTTTACAAGTTAACCTCTTATACCTTGTGCCATCAGCTGCACATGCATGACAAAATCATTATCTGGAGACATTTTCTTTCTGCAAATTCTGCTTGGTTATGATGAGTATTTTTATAATCTGCCAATCAAAATCAAACTTTGGTTCAGAATGATACCTATCATAAGTAGCTTCAATTGGATTAACCTCTTACTTGGTTTTTTCACGGAAAAGCTCTTTGTTGCATACATTGTTTTTAACATTTACCTTACTGCTATGCTTTTATTTGGGTGACGAGGGAAACCTGCAGCCACTACCCGAGGGTGTGCACTGGGTAAACCCCGCCTTGTGACCCTAGCCGACAAAGGACCGCAAGGAGGTAATCCAGCCTAGGTTGCCCATAGCTGACCGGCTCAAACCAAGGAGGCTGAGATTCGAACTCGTGACTTTGTGGTTACAAGTTTGTATCATTAGCCAACTTGGCTGGGGTTACCCCACCTTAATGCTATGCTTGAATGGGTAGAAAGTGGGGAAAGTAAATGGGAGAGAAAATATGAGGGAAAAGAAAACAGAGAAGAAAATTTGTGTTTGGCTGAGGATTAAAAAAATGAGAAGAAAGAGAAGTGGAGTTTTTTCTCCTCTATTTTCTTTCTCATCAAAACAAAAGAAGCTAAAATTTTATTCCCATTTTCTTTTCTCCCATCCATACATATGATTAATCTTTTGTTGATTGCTGATATTGGTTTGCTGCTGTAACTGAAATGAGTGATAACATCATTCTTTTTACCCTTATTTGCTGTCTTGGTTTGTAAATATCTAGATGCTCCATTACTAACACAGTATTTTGGAGTCCAAACATGATTTTTTGGCTTTTTGCAGGCATTTGGTGGGGTTCTTTCTCTTCCTTTCATTGACTATATATACTGCAATGAAGATTCCAGATGTTGTAGACTTTCCAACTTTACAAAATCTTCCTGATGTGCTTAGAAAAGCTGATCTGCACGCTTGTCTACCATCCCTGCTGCACATTCCTGATCTGCACAGGCTTCGGGAAGAACTGAAGACTGCATTTCCATCACTTTCTAATTGGCATATTGTACAACTTCTCACTAACTGCCTACCCGAGTGTTTTTCTAACAGCAACCATACCAATGTTTGTGTTCTGGTAATCCTCACTCATTTCTCGAGTGCCTCTAACTAATTTATTAAAAGCTCACAGTATTTGATAGAACTTATGCATATATTCCTTCTTCATTTCATCTCCAGTAAATGAATATTTTTGTATATGGCTAATGTTACCCTTGTATGCCATGCTACATAGTAATTGTGTTATTTTGCACCCAAACACTGTTTTGCTCCGTTTAGGGTATGCATAATTATTCTCTAGGCAGCTCTCTGCTAGCCTGCTAGATGGGCTAAATAGGCTATAAAGAAGAGTTCCAACTTCCAACCTGGGAGCACTTGTATAATAGAAGAATTTAATATGGCAAAACATAGTTTACGTTCTGTGGGAATAGTTAATTCTTTATTTTTCTTCATTTGATCTATCCTGTGAGTTTTCCTTTCCCCTTTCTTATTGATTAGTTTTGTAAATGGAAATGCTTTCATATAACACAAATCATTTATGTACACTCCCGAGGACTTAAGATCCATTTGACCTCTCTAGTTGTGGTGGCTGATATTTCTTTTATTAACTTGATTGAATGCAGAGTAGCATGAAGGAAGATCTGGTGAACATAATAGCGCCATTGACGACCAGACCAATCACACGGTGGCCATTCTTTGCATTCTTGGGCGGGGCAATGTTTTGCTTGCTAGCGAGCAGCACATGCCACTTACTATCCTGCCATTCAGAACGCCTATCGTACATAATGCTAAGGCTCGACTATGCTGGCATTGCTGCTCTGATATCAACTTCGTTTTACCCTCCTGTCTACTATTCCTTCATGTGCTACCCCTTCTTCTGCAACCTCTATCTGGGATTCATCACCCTCCTAGGAATCGGCACAATCCTGGTTTCCCTTCTCCCAGTCTTCCAGAACCCAGAATACCGCACCTTCCGTGCTGCATTGTTCTTCACCATGGGCGTATCAGGCGTAGCGCCAATCTTACACAAGCTCATTTTATACTGGAACCAGCCCGAGGCACTTCACACAACAGGATACGAAGTCCTGATGGGAGTATTTTACGGGATAGGAGCCTTGGTCTATGCCTTGCGCATCCCAGAGCGATGGATGCCCGGGAAGTTTGACATCGCCGGGCACAGCCACCAGCTCTTCCACGTACTGGTGGTGGCAGGGGCTTACACCCATTACCGTGCAGGGTTAGTTTACCTCAAATGGCGAGACATGCAAGGATGCTGATGTTAACTGGGAAAGAAAAGGTTAGAAATGGCCATGATTTCTTTATCTAAATGCTGTAAGGATGACTGTATATGGTCCCATTCCTATTGAATAATTTGAGTTAGATGATGATGGTGGGTGTAAGGTGTAAAGACTTACCGTGTCTCACTGTCTTGATAGGCGTTGTAAAGTAAAACATTGTGCATTTTCTTTTAGACCTTCATTAGGCAAATAAAACAGGAAATGCAAGTATTTTAATAGGTACTTCTATTTATAAGGCATTGCCTAAAATGTGTAAAAATGAATACTTCAATAATAATAAATCGTTAATATTTCAGTTATAATGATATTTTTGTTTTATTTTTAAATATTAGTTTTGATTAAAATGCTAAAATGTAAACAATCGGTCCCGTGTAAGATAGTGTAATAGACTAATAGCATTATCATTGGTTCATTTTTTTGGACTTCTTCGCAGGTTTTAAAAACATTGGTGTGCATTGCATATTTGCATGCACCAGCAATATCTATTGAGCATTGGGAGCGAGTTGACAATCACCCTACTTTTTTCTTCTTCTTCTTCCTCCTTTTTAGTTTTTTTTTTTTTTTTTTAATTATGTTTTTGTTAATAATTTCTACTTTCTAGTGAAAATTAATTGTACACACGTCTTTGTGAAACATTGAATACTACGAGACTTAATAGATTCATGTGCTATGTTTATTTGGGTTCTCATCTTAGCCCACATGGTTGGCCTAGAAGTGCCCAGTAGGAAGATTATTAGTTCATCATACAAAGTAGTAGAGTGTAGATTTGTACCATCAAAATGATCATATTTTAAATAAATAGGGAAAATATTCAAATAGGCCCCTAAACTTTACTCGAAAAGTCAATTAGACTTCTAAACTTTTGAAAGTTATAATTAAATCATAAACATGCCATTTTAATGCATGGAAGTCAAAAAATCAATTCATCATGACCTATAATAGTAGATCATTTGGGTTCTAGTGACCCTCTGACCAACTCCGGCGACTTTAGAACCAACTCCAACGACAACTGATCAAATTCCAACGAACCAGCGAGAAAGCGACCAAATCTACTCTGGAACCCTCTCCGGCAGAGCAGGAGGCGACCATTTTATGATCGCTTTCTCTAGCAAACCAGAAGGTGACCATATATGGTTGCCACCAGGAGAAGGCAACCATTTTGGTCACCTTCTTCTCTGAGAGAAGGCAACCATATGGCCGCTTTCTCTAGTAGAGTAGACGGTGATAATTTGGTCGCTTTCTGGTCTGACGGAGTTTGGTTGCCTTCTCGCAGGTTCGTCGAAGTTGGTCGGAAAGTTGCTGGACTTGGTTCGAGGGTCGCTGAAACCCTAGTGACTTGGTATTACAAGTCATTAACCGGTTTCTGGACTTCAATGCACCAAAATTATAAATTTATGAGTTTAATTGCAACTTTTGAAAATTTAGGAGTTCAATTAACTTTTCGAATAAAGTTTAGGGGTCTATTTGATCATTTTCCCAAAAACTTTTTAAAAGTGTTGGCTAAGTGACTTTTTGTATCAAGAGAAAAATAAATATTACAGTATTTGACATCATATCATTCAAATAACATACATGATTGTACCTAATAAAAAAATATATTGTCTCCAGATTCATTCAAAATACTTTATTATCATATTTTTTTTTGGTAGAGACTTTATTATCATATTGAATGTGAAAGAAAAAAAAATATTTGAAGTAGTTATCTATAACTAAACATTAAAAAGAAAAAGTATTATAGTAAAAACTGAATGTTGCATTTTTATATTTAAGAATTGTGTATTAATTATTATGTATGATAGGAGCGACAATCTTATTATTTAGCTCTAATCCCGAACCCGAAGACAAGATACAGTGTTTCAAGAAGAGAATGTCAGAAATTAGAATCTTTACAAAGGAGCTGTGATACTAATTCTTTCATTATTTAATTTAATCATTTGTTTTTATGAGTGGAGCGGTATAAAGCCGACAGCTTATTGCCTAATCTCTCCAAAGTGACAGAGAGAAATCAACGGCGAAAAGTGTCGGTACGAGAACACGCGTCCCTCGCCGGAGATTTTGGGGCCCAACGCCACCGTACTTTAGGAAACCCCATTGATTAAGCCTCTGCTCACGTTAAAAGCCACGCCCTCTTCGACCTAAAAATAGCATCCCACCGCCGGTGATGGAAGGATAGTCGTCATTATCTTCAACACTTCTCTTCTCTCTGCCCCTTTTTGTCTTCTTTCTAGCTATCGGCCAAAATCGGTTTTAATATTTACAGCGGTGAGTGAGGGGGCGGTCATAATGACAGTTTCGTGTTTTGTTGGGAGGATATAATGTACTCGGAGCTTGGGAGGACGCAAATGGCTTCTTCGATGTCAAAGAGCAGGGGCAAAACGGCGGTTTTCTCCGATGCTTTTCTGTGCACCGGCGGGACTCTTGTGGCGTTTGTTTTGGTGTGGGGGGTTTGGGCTTTCGTTGCCCCAAATCCCAGTTTTAACGGGGGGTTTCCATCTCTCGCCGGGAAAATTTCCGGCGGCGGGGAGGAGTGCTCTTACAAGCAGGGTTTTAACCTAGGCGACGACCCGCCGGAGAAGAATTTCTACGACGACCCGGATTTGAGGTATACCATTGAGAAGCCGGTGAAGAATTGGGACGAGAAGAGGAAGGCGTGGCTAGAGCAACACCCGTCGTTCATCCCGGGGGCTGCGAACCGGGTTCTGGTGGTGACCGGTTCACAAGCGACGCAGTGTAAGAACCAGATCGGCGACCATTTGCTCCTCCGCCTCTTCAAGAACAAGGTGGACTACTGCCGCCTCCACGGCTACGATATCTTCTACAACACCGTGCTTCTGCAACCCAAGATGTTCTCTTACTGGGCCAAAGTCCCGACGGTCCGCGCCGCCATGCTGGCCCACCCGGAAGCCGAGTGGATCTGGTGGGTCGACTCCGACGCCGCCTTCACCGACATGGACTTCAAGCTCCCCCTCCACCGCTACAAAAACCACAACCTCGTCGTCCACGGCTGGCTCAACATGATCTTCGAGAAGAAGAGCTGGACCAGCGTTAACGCCGGCGTCTTTCTCATCCGGAATTGCCAGTGGGCCATGGATTTCATGGACGTGTGGGCCAGCATGGGCCCACAGTCCCCACAATACGATCACTGGGGAAACACTCTCCGGAGAACCTTCAAGGACAAGATATTCCCGGAATCGGACGACCAATCCGGCCTGATTTACCTAATCTTAAAGGAACAGGAAAAATGGGGAAACAAAATCTACGTGGAGAGCGATTACTACTTCGAGGGATACTGGGTGGAAATCGTGGGGAAACTGGATAACATCACCGACATGTATTTAGGGATCGAGAAGACGGCGGCGGGGGAGAAGCTGCGGCGGCGCCACGCCGAGAAGGTGAGTGAGAGCTACGCCGAGAAGTGGAAGGAGCACCTCAGAAACGCCGGGCAAGGGAGGAGTGGTTGGAGACGGCCGTTCATCACGCACTTCACCGGCTGCCAGCCCTGCAGCGGCGACCACAACGAGATGTACTCCGGCGAGACCTGCGCCGATGCCATGCACAAAGCTTTGAACTTCGCCGATAACCAGGTGCTTCGGAACTACGGGTTCATGCACAGGGATCTTCTGGACACCGCCTCCGTCGTCCCATTGCCGTATGATTTTCCCAATTAAACTTCTCCGATCCGGCAGGATTTGTACTTTGTTAGCATAAAACTAAGCATGATATGATGATTAATCAAATCAAATATTATATATGTAAGGAACATAGATGCTTGCTAGGGTATTTAATTTACTTCTTGCTGTTCTTCCTTAAATCTTAATCCCATTTTCTGTTCAATGAAAACTCCATTTCAGCACATGTTTCCCTGAGAATTTGGAAGTGAGAATCTGTTAATCCAATCATCCAGATGCAATTAAAAGACACAAATCAGAGGATTAGTTGTCGGGGGAGAGGGGACAGATGATTAGGAGAAGAAGCGAAGGCACCTAGGGTTTATGAACATGTGTATTCACAAAGTCGATTCTTGTTCACAACAATTGTTTCAAAAAAAAAAAAAAAACAATTATTGGTGGCATGATGTGTCAGTTGGCCAGAACTGTGACCACTATGGGACTACTGTCAGAGTGTCAGTGACCAGTAACATCGAGCTTAAATGGCAGAATTGATTCTTTCTTTTTTTGGGCCCAACTTGTAGTGCCCATTTGGGCTGGGCCCATTAACAAGTTACTCTTATTCATAAATTATCATATTGGTTCAAACTCTCAATTCACCCATAAAATAACGGAGGAGTTACATGTACAGACATATAACAAGTTACTCTTTCTTGCTTTGGTCAATAAGACTTAACTTAAATTAGAATATAAAACTTAAATTTAAAAATTATAAATAATGTTAAAGAAAAGTTAAATCGACCAATGAATAGGATATGATGATTTGTTATGAAACCATTGGGGTGGCTCCATCTACATCAAGCTCTGCAGAAGGAACATCATTGAACATGTACTGGCTTTGATACTCCATTAGGTATTGTGTTGATCTTTTCACGTCATAGAAGAGCTCATAAACTCGACTAACATCTTCAATGTCGACAACCTTTCCCTTCCGTTTCTGGCAAGCTAGAGCAGCAGCAGTGATGAGGTGGATGGCATACCTCAGAGAGGTGTCAACCCCAATCTTTGTCAACAGTAACTTTGCATCTTCAGACATTTCTACATCCTCTTCTTGGCATCTGATATCCAGAATCTTGTGAATCTCTTCTTCTGAGTAAGGTTGTGTGGAGATGATGAGCAGGCGATCCAGGAAATCAATGGGAATCCCGTGTGGGGATTTGTAGTGTGTGCCTCGGATTGCAGTAATGCCACGGTTGGTAGCAACAACCAATATAGGCGCCATTTCATTCTCCAGAGCTCGGTTAAGGAAGGAGAAGCATTCAATGTCTAACATATGCACTTCATCTATAAACAGAACGCCTGGCACAATCTCTGCCTTACCTTCCTCCCTCCACTCTGAAACCTTCGTATCAATCTGGTCCCTGACCTCAGTTCGAATTTCTCCAGTATCACCAGTGAAAAGAGCTAAAAACCCCTGAGTTCTGGAATTAAGAGAGAGAGAGAGAGAGCAATTAAATGACACTATTTGGGGGTATAGGGACAACACATTCAGTATCAAAACAACTACTCTAAAGCTTGGTTGTCATTATGCAAAAGCAGGTGAATCATCCATTCATCCTAGAGACGTTCGTTACAAATTCTATATGGATGATTGTATGAACACAATAAAGCTATAGAATGGTACTCTTGAAATAGAATGAGCACAGCCATAAAAGTCCTTGAGCGCAATGGATTGGCAAGAGACCAAATTCATATATCCTAGATTCCTAGTAGAACCAGAAGCATCATTAAGGGATGCCCGTTGCCCATAGTTGACCGGCTCAAACCAAGAAGTCCAATAAGCCGTTCTTTCTTAGAGCCGAATTTGTAATCTTGTGATTACCAAGTTTAACCAACTTGGCTGGGTTACCCCGTTTAGCCATGAATTTTGCACTGAGAACATGATGATCAACAACTTAGGATATAAATACCAAGTCTATTCTTCTAAATTGTTTATATATATATATATACGAGACAAAAACAAAAAACCTTATGGAAGACAAAATTCAGAGGAAAAAAAAAACATATTTTAGTAACAAAGAATCTGAAAGAGTAGCATGAAGTCACATATATCCATAAATCAGCTAAAAGAGTACCAAAAGCAAGCCAATTCAGTTTATAACAATCTTCATGTATACATTCAAGCCAAGAAGAGAGTTCTCAGTTATCAACTTAAAAGGCAAAACAAGCATGATGACCAAGTTTTGAAAGCATGGAGAGATGATCGGAAAATCAAGAATAGGTTTCATCAACTAATAGAAAAAACTGAAAGGAAGTATATTCATAAAGTTGAAAGGCAGAGAAATATTAACCTGCTATTGATAACATCAATTTCATGGAGTGTAACACAATGCACCACCTCCTTTCTCTTCTGCAGCTCCCCATCAGGGCATTGCACGAACTTGTTCTGTGGTCCCATGGCGTCATAGTCTCTAGACCTGGAAAATGACCTCCCCAGCTTCGTTATCTTCCCGGTGGCCTTGTCAATGGCGATAACATCCCCGCTCTGCACTTTCCCCTTACTCAAAGCCTCAATCATCTTCGTCCCCAGATCATACACTGTCTCCATATCCGTTGTCTTCAGAGTCATCTTCCCTGTCTTCGACGCTGCTCCCGCCACCGCCGGGCGGTCAATTTGGATTTCCACAACCTCACCTTCAATAACCTCGGCCTCCTCTTTGATTCTAACTCCAATTGCTTTCCGAAATGCTTGCATTAGGGCTTCGGTCTTCGACATTTCGAGCGAGAAAAGTTCGCTCCCTGCGAGGCTCGCGAACGGCGTTTCCTGGCCCAGGGACTTGGCCATGCCCATAGCAATGGCAGTCTTGCCTGTTCCCGGTTGGCCGGCGAGTAACACGGCCCGACCCGCAATTTTCCCTTCTCGGATCATCTTAACAATGACGCCGGCAGCTTTACGGGCCGACGTCTGGCCTACCATTCCCTCCGAAGCGGCTCGAGGTTCCAGTGCAGAATCGAGGCCTAAACCTCGAATATGCGAGTGAGCGCCAATGCGCTCTATTCGGGTTAGGTCCCGCGTCTCGGAGATTTTCAGCTCCGCCATGGCTGAGAAGGTGACAAGGGTTTAGGGTTTAATTTCAATGGCGATAACGCAAGTACGCAACAAGAAGGAGAAGCTGACTTTCAGACCAGTGTAAAGAACGGCAAATTATGCTCTGGACCCGTGTCCACATTGAATTGTGGACACGGGCCCAAAACGACGCCGTTTTTTAAAAAAAACGCGTCATTTAGTTAAAAAAAAAAATTCGCGCGTGTTTTGCCGTTAACGGCGTTAACGGCGTTATTTTTTTTTTTGATTATGAATGTACAGTTATGCCGTTATGAATGTACAGTTATACCGTTATGAATGTACAGTTATGCAATTATGAAATTATGAACACAGAGCTCTAACATTATGAACTTACAATTATGAACATATATAGTGATAAAATTATGACCATGGAGCTTTAAAATTGTGAATATAGAGCTTCGAAGATTATGAATGTACAGTTATAGAGTTATGAATCTACAGTTATGGAGTTATGAATCTACAGTTATGAGATTATGAATCTACAGTTATGGAATTATGAATGTACAGTTATTGATCGAATTATGAACAAAGAGTTCTAACATTATGAACTTACAATTATGAACATATAGTGATAAAATTATGAACATAGAGCTCTAAAATTGTGAACATAGAGCTTCGAAAATTATGAATGTACAATTATGGAGTTATGAATGTACAGTTATGACGTTATGAATGTACAGTTATAGAGTTATGAATGTACAGTTATAGAGTTATGAACGTACAGTTATGGAGTTATGAATGTATAGTTATTAACATATAGTAATAAAATTATGAACATATACTTCTATAACAAAGTGATCTGAAATTTTTTTAAAAAAAAAAAAAAAAAAAAAAAAAAAGGAGATAACAGTGCCTAACGGCACTGTTACCCGTGTCCAGCAAGCATGCTGGACACGGGTCCAAGGCATAACGATTGGTAAAGAACGTTTTGGGCCACTTCTATAGGGCCATATAACTACTCAGTGGACCGTATAATAAATTCAAACTCTACTTATCAAGAGCTAAAAAATGAAAAGATGTGAAACTGTTGAACTTCAACTTAGAGCATCCACACTAAAGGGAGAATGTGGAATTATTTTAGAAATAAATCACTCAAGTCAAAAATAATACTGATATAGGAATAAGTTATTTGAAAAAAAATCACTCTGCAAATGAAGGGTTAATGTCAGAATTAAAAAAAAAAAAAAAAAAAAAAAAAAAGTAAGGCTGTGCGCACAACCTGAGCAAAATCCGGGCACGTGCACTGCACGCGCCCAGTGGTGCGTCAGGCGTGCCTGACAGCATTAGTTTTTTAATTTTTTTTTTTTAAAATCAATTTGCTCTTACAACCTCAAACTGCTAGACATGATTATGTAGGAGTATTGAAACCTTGTCCAGGATGAAGGTGGAGGCATCCACTCTTCTAAAAAAAATTTAAACAAATATTTTTTCTTCTAATTATTTCAAAATAATAATTAAAATAAATTTTTATATATAATTTGACATTATGACATAATATTTAAAGGAAACTTGGGAGTAAATTGTAAAATAAGAAATGCTATTTGAGTATTTGCACAATTTTTGAGTTTTCTTTTTCTTTTTTTACAATTTTTTGAGTTTTTATGATCCAATTGCACACTTTTATTGTTCGACGATTGAATTACACAATGTGTAAAAATTCAATAACTTATTTGACCTTTTTTTCAAAAAAAAAATAAAAGAAAAATCGTCAAACAAAACTAAAAACACCACTTAAATAAAAGCAGAGGTATAATTAGACATATATGTACACTTGTGTTGCTGTGTGTGGATATAATTTGTAACCTTCAAATAAAAAAAAAAATTACGCTTTATCCACTCATCCATGTAATATAATATTACAAGCATTTGAGTGTAAAAATGTTGGTTAGGTATAAAGAATTTTAATTGGCGACCATCCTCAATACGCTCCGTGGGCGCATTAGTACACACGTCCACTTGATACTTAGCGCGCATCAACGGTTTTTTTTTTTTAAATTTCTTTGGTGAGTTCATCGTTCTGACCAAAAACAACTCTTCCTGCGACGTAATACTACACATACTCACATTTCTTACTCCATTTTTTTATTACCAACTACCGTGTCATATTTTAATTCATCTAAAAAATTGATGTGTCACAATTTTATTATTTTATTTTTCTTCTATAAATCAAATCATGACACATGACGAGAGTTTTATTTATAAAAATACATTTATCATTTTCCCCTCCTAAAATCTAGAATTGGGGATGCTGTAACAAAACGCACCACATTCAATAAAACGTGAAGTAAGTTTTATTCCATCTGAAAATTACTGCATTACTCTCTCTCTCTCTCTCTCTCTCTCACGCAGAAAGCGGTGCGTAGTAAATTTTTTGAGCGTTTGCCTATCCATTTTCGTGAACTTACTGCTACGAATTTTTTTTAAATAACAACTCCATAAAAAATTAAACTAAAAAAAAATAAAAACAGAATAAAATATAGCACAGATCAGGATTCAAGAATAGGAAAAACAGTAACGTGTCAGTGTTCTATTGGATGCAAGCAAACGCAAGGGGCCGGGGGAAATGAAATAATATTATATAAAAGTTTTTTTTTAACTCGTTTGTATCTAAGTTTTGATTAATTTTAAAATATAAATTACATTTTTAATTAATTTTTAAATGAAATTAAAAATTTTAAAGCTTGGGAGTGATGAGAATGCAAACGATGGTGGGGCCCAGTCTAGTCAAACGAGAAAACCAGATATGGCCGAATGACGGAATGAGTACAGTCAAGGCTCAACTGTCAAGGTCAAGCTCCTAGCTGGCATCTTTTAAGCTATACGCCTGACCTCATCATCGGTTCCGCCATAACTTTTTAGAAAAATATTATATCTATCCCCAATTTTTACTCTCACAGTTAAAATATTGATAATGACACTTTTACAGAAACTTACGTGAAGAAAATGACTTATCACAACCCGGCACATCAAAAAATAAATTTAAAGAAGTAAGATTTGAGAGTACATGTAATATAACTCAATTTTTTTATGCTAAGAGCAACCACATTTGTTGAGTTTTTGCACAAATTTTAAAGAAGTCATGTAGAAAAGAAACTAAAATGAGAGAGAAAAAGAAAATAAAAGAAAAAAGTTTCTAACAATTTTTTTTTTTAACATAAAAGCTCATGTTTCAGTCAAAGTGGTCGCCAGTTGACAACCACTTTGACGTGCCCCAACAGGCGTGAGGTGCGCTCCAAATGCGCGAAATATGCATTTTTTTCTTTTTCATGCAAAATTCATGAATTTGTAAGAGAAAAGTTTCTCCAAAAACCAGCTGTCCCATCAATTTTTTTATTGCCAAGCTAGTTTTTTCTCTTCAAAAAACCCAACAAAAACCACTAGTGTGGATGCTTTAAGAGCAATCTCATTTGGTGAGGCTTTATATAGTTTTTGTCATGCCACATGTGCAATGAAAGAGAGAATAGAGAGAAAACAAGAGGATAAAAAGAAAAATCTAACAGGGAATAATGTTGTTCTTCATTTAACCTTTGATTGAGACTCGCAAAGAACTCATTGTTGCACGAGGAAAAAAAAAAAAAAAAAAAACCTTTTCCCCATTTGTTTAAAAATCCACCTTTGATTTTTCTGGCGGACAAAAACGCCAAATAAATAACAAATGTGGTTGCTCTTAACAAATAGTCTGAGCATCCTCATTTGTATTAATTTTTGTGAGTTTTTGCATGCCAACTAGGAGAGGAGAGAGGAAAAAAGAGAAAAAGAAAAGATTAAAAAAAAAAAAAAAAAAAAAAAAAAACCAGTTCTGCCACAAAATTACATTATGGGTGCAGTTAGAGCATCCACAATAGTGGGGTTCTTTTGTAAATTTTGAGAAGTTTTTGTAAGTATGATTAGAAAAGAGAATATGGGAGAGGAGAGAAAAAATGAGAGAGAGAGAAAAAAAAAAAACAAAACTGATTTAAAATAATAATAATAATAATAATAAAATGTAAATGTCAGGAGCGTTGTGTCAGCGCGCCTGACGCTCCCGTGTGGCCAGTAGCTGTGCGCGAAACGCGCACAACTTCAAAGCTTAGGCAAATTTTCTATGACGCATGCACTGTTCCAAAATCCCTCGCATGCAGATGAACTCCTTTATTCTCTCACTTCCCTTCCCTCTCAATATGTTATTGTTCCAACCCCCCCCCCCCCCCCCCCCATGATTCACTGATAAGGATTCTTTTAGTGTGCGAAACTCGACTGATGCGCGTAATTTCTTTCATTTTTTGGGCCTACAAAAAAACTCCAATCTGCATGAATAAAGTTTCCCTAAAAATCCTACTTTCCATTAGTGTAAAAATCATCCCTAGATTTTTTTCTTCTGCAAAAATCTATTAAAATTCACAAATGTGGATGCTCTAACCAAATGCAAATTCAAAAAGTCACATTTGTGTGAGTGATTCGTGAGACGAATTGAATTTAATTATAGAAATCATAAGAGCATCCCCAATAAGGGGATTTTTGAAAGTTTTTGCAAGTGGTAATGCACATGTGGATGACACCCAATTGTTATAAGTTATGTGAGGCGGGGCTTGGGGGTAAGTTTCAGGAGAACAAAGCATACATACACACACACACGAAACTTTAATGATGTAAGAACAATTTTGTCCAATAAAAATACAATATTTATAAAGTAATGTACAACTTTAATATTATAGAAATACTGACAAAAATATTAATATGCAAAAGTATAATTAAAATATTGAGTTTTGTTATAACTAATCAAAAGAAGATTAATTAAACGAAAAAAAAAAAAGAAATAAATATATTAAACCTAGATTTGTTTAAAAAATGCAAAAAAAAAAAAAATTAAAGTTTCTTATTTGTAATCTATGCTTAACTTTGAATCCTATGTAAATAACCCGACTAATTAATTGACCAAAGTTAATGTTAAATTTTATATTGTATTTTGTTAATATACTCTAACATATTCATAATATATGTTTAACAATTATGCCAACTCCGATTGGGATGTGATTTGAACATAGACCTTTCTTGTGGAAACTAATGAGTAAATTAAGAATAATAAAT